TGCAAGTTTTAAGCTCAACTCTCTGAAAACTTCTGAACCTGTGAGGAAGTTTTTCCAGCCTAATGTAGTTTTTTATTATTATATATATATTTTTAAATGGGTTTTAGTTAAAACTATTTCTGTGATACATCCAGCTACATTAGAGGATTCAGTTGCAGGTTACCACTGCTGAATTGCACAATATGGAGAGAAAGAAAAAAAAAGCTTTTATTTTCAAGCAACACTGTTCGGTTAAGTCTTTGTGCACCATACTGAGATGCACTAAAAATGACTCACAGAAACATGGCAGAGCTGAAAATAAAAACACAAAATACCAGTACCACCAACATTTTGTTAGATGCTACTGCTGAGTCACTGACAGTTTTTTCTGGTGCAAACAGGAAGTTTCACACTCGTGGTGGCGGTGGCGTGTAAAAGGGATGTGATGTTTTAGCAGTTAATAGGTCTGACTTCATCAGCGTGTGGAAAACAAGGGCTTAAAAAAAAAAAAAAAAACCCCAAGGTGCTGCAACATAAAGCAAACACCTTAAACCTTTTGGTGTATGGTGCAATAAGCCACCTTTATTTATGGCATTTGGGAGAAGTCTGCAGAAAAACAAAAATCAAGTAGCCTTTTGGAAATGTGCTTTTTTTAAATACTCTTGTTTGCAGCTGCAGAGGAAAGCTTCAATAACCCTCACAGTGATAAAACAAAATCAATCCTCAGAAAGAGGATCAAAATCTCCATCACTGGCCAAAAGACAATTTCCTTAAATACCTGAGGACATAATCTGGGATTTAAATCACACATCACCAGCAGACTCACTTATTGCACCATAGAAACTGCCTCGGTTGGGTGTCAAGTGACGTCTAGCACACATAGTCCTGCAGCAGATCAGCATGCCGAAGCAACAACCGCAGAAGAAAATGAGACCCAGTGCGACCCACACCAGTGTAGTGACGACAAACGCAAACTGGTAGGTCACCTTGTGGCAGTACGGATCTTTTCCAGGTAAGTAGTTTGGAGGATAGACAGAATAAATCCAGCTGCTGCCTGTAAGGTGAAGACAGACAACACACAGGTCTTCAGTTCTAAGTGAAACCTTAACAATGTATTCACTTTAAAGGTCGCAGCTGCAACAGTTTGAACTACTTCACTGTGTTTTTAAAGGCTGTGGTTTGGTCAGATTTGATTGGCAAAGCCAAATAACCCACTGTCATCCATTTCTTGACCATGGAAGATACTATGTGCTGATTCGTTACACACAATTACGTCACCATTTTTTCCAGACTGATCAGTAAAAGTTGCAAAAACATTTTACACGATCCTTTAACTAAGCATCATGAAGCAAAATGTGAAAAAAAAAAAAAAGGGGGGGGAATTGTTGGATTGTTACTGATAGATGTGTTTGCAAGACACAGTGGTTTCTTATTTTCACCACAAATATAGATTCACTGAGCCTTGAAAACCACACATTGTGTGCGCTGGTCTCTGATATCTAATAAGGAAGGGTGTAAGTATTTGTGTGGCATTACTACCAGGTTGTGAATGCAGCATTTCCTAAATTTGTTTTTGTCTGCTCAATGCCAATAAGATTAAATACTTCCATTTCCAACATTAACAATTTTACTATAGATGCACTCATTGAACACATGACAAACAATGTGGTCATAAAAGGAAAGGACCTCAGTTTGTAAATGTCCCCTACACCATTACAAAGTCTTGATTAGTAGAAATCAAGGCTCGTGATGCCAGGCAATATTTATCCATTTGAGTTCTTGTTCTTAGCTGACATGAGTGGCATCTGGTGTGGTTTTCTGCTGTTGTAGGTTTGACATTCAAAGATGCTCTTCTGCATAACTTGGTTTTAACTAATAGTTATCCGAGTTACTGTTGCTTTCCTATAAGTTTGAAGCAGTCTGGTCATTCTCCCCTTACTTCTGGGATCCACGAGGTATTTTTTCAGAGAACAGCTGAGTGATTTCTCACAGCGTTCACCTTACTTCCTCATTCTGATGCTCAGTTTGATTTTCACCAGGATGTTTTAACCATGTCTACATTTCTGTGTGCACTGAGTTGCAGCCATATAATTGGCTGATTAGATATTTGTGATAACAAGCAGTTAAAAAGTTGTATCTAATCAACTGGCCAGTAAGTGCATGTGAGTTTTGTGTCTAATTTCATGCAAAATGAAGAGTTCAGAAAGTTTTTTTTCTCCCACCTGCTATGAACCAGGCAAAACTGAAGATGTGAAGAACTGTCATACAGGCTGTGGACAGGACGTGGATTGCTCCATCATCAAAGGCGCTGCTGGTGTAGGTCAGAGTTAGTGAGAGGATGCTGTTTGCCCCCAGCACTATCAGGTAAATGGGGATGTGGGGCTGTATGGTACAACTTGTCAGGTGTGTGGCCCCTGTGATGCAACAGAACAACCATATAAGATCATCATCAATCATAGGCGAAATGCTAAAGGTGCCGTTTTCACCAACTGGATAACTAAAGCTGTTAAACCTACCCAGTCCAATGGCTGCTATCATTACCATCCACCATATAATGTTCACCACCACTACAAAAACAAAAAGAGAAAGAGGGTAAAGGACTGGTTTAACAGTAAAACAGGTTAAATTATGAAAAAGTGAGACAAAAATGAGATGCAGAAACTAATCTAACCAATTCCTGTGACTTGTGAGGCAGTTTGAGGCCTTAGATCCATCTGTGGAGAGAGGTTAATATCTACAGTCACAGTTTTGTCACAGCCAAAACATGAAGAGGAAGCAGAAGCAGAGCTCTACGGTACCTGTCCAGTTGTGAGTGGAGCCTTTTTAAATCTTCAAGTATTCAGAAGAGGAGAACTACACGAGTTGCCGTTAGCTACTTCTTAGCAAAGTGCAGGATGTTAAGACATACACGTTCGAGCCTTTCAGCGACTGTTGCAACACTGTCTCACTAAGAGGAAATAATGATAAAAATCAGCCTCTGTTATCTGACACGGTTTATGTGCAGTTTAAGATTTCCTTAAGACAAAGTAGTTACATGAAATCCTTCCACTGATCTTGTAAACCATACTGTTTCATAGATAGATCAAAATGATTTACATTTTGAAGTGACATAATCGGTACATGTTAAATCATGAAGCAGCACAAGGGCTAGGTCATTGTAAGCCACAGGACAGCTTATGTGGTGCACACAGGAAAATCAGCTTTCCTGTTAGAACTATCAGCTTTTTCTCGCGTGCCAATAAATACCGACTGCCACTTTCAACTATCAAACAGTTTGTGTACAGAAGCTGAACATTAAAACTGTGCTTCAGAAAGCAACAAACATCATTAAGGACTCATCTCACCCTCACCTCCATTTCTTCAAACTTCTGCCTTCAAGCAAATGATACAGGACACTAAAAACACACAGCAACAGACTTTTAAATCGTTTTTTTTAACACAGAGGGCGTCACCACCCTGATGCTGCTTTAAAACCATATATTAGCACAGGGGTGGGCAACTCCAGGCCTCCAACACAGCTGATTTGAACCAACACAGCTGATTTAAATGGCTAAATTAGCTCCTCAACCTGTCCTGAAGTTCTCCAGAGGCCTGGTAACGAACTAATCATGTGATTCAGGTGTGTTGACCCAAGGTGAGATCTAAAAGCTGCAGGACACCGGCCCTCGAGGCCTGGAATTGCTCACCCCTGCGTTAGCATCTTGAATTACAGACTGTATGAGATTTACTTTATTGTTATTTATTTTCTTTCTTATTCATCTCTTATATTATTACTCTTACTTTTTAACTACAGGGAGAACCATTTTTTAAGCAGAAGTGCAACAAATTTTGTTGTATATCATTTTATAGAAGGACAAAATATTATAAAATAAAATATTTGCCAGACAAAGATTGTCTTTGAATAATACAAGGTATCTGTTGATTTATGTCTTTTTGCTCTGAGCTTTCAACAGAATATTGAATATTAGAAAAAGTTGATTAAAGTGAGTTTAATCTTTATGGCTCACTGGCTACTTGTTTTCAGTTTAGAGTTTTAAGCAGCATTTTAAAACCACTGGTGCTAAACTGGGGATTTGTTCTTATCCCTGAATTAAAGGTGAAGCCCAGCAATTTATTATTGCACTTTTATACAGGGGAAGTATTTCGAAAAAAACTGTTTAATTTTTTTTTAAACAAAGCCTTTTGAGGCTGTAGGGCCAAAGGATCAAATTCCAAATAAATCCAGGAGCCTACATTACCCATGATTCAATCCCTGCACCAAACGTTAAGCCTGAGATTGTGGGTGATAGAGAGTGCAGTTGGCAGTACTGCTCCTTACTTGCAGAGATGAGAATGGAGCAAATGAGAGTCCCGTAGGCTTCCTTGTTTCTACCTCCACCCAAGTGATGTAGTGCATTGATCTCCAGACACTTATTACAGAAGTATGTTTTATCTATGCTTTTCTACATGAAAACAAGAGTAGTAAACAAACATTGCTGCATAAAAATCAGTGGAGTTTGTTTAATGGAGCTTCAATTAAGAAATGTGGTTCAAGTTCTGCAAATTTGGACAGCTGGAATGGGTCTGAGATTCAAAGGTTAAGCTAGTTGTTCACTGCTTACAGTAAGCAGTAAGCCAGAGGAAGATGGAAGTACCACTAACAAAGCAATGCTGCCACCATGTGACTGGATGAAAACAGCTCCTGGTAATATGGTGTTGGTTAGAGGTCATAGAGGAGGCTGTTTCAAGCTTCTCTAAAGACCTCAATATCAGCTCAAGTGTTGGACTCATGTTAAACTCTGCGAGTTCAAGAACATTAATGTTACTCAGTTGGCTTGTTTAAGCTTTATTCCAATTTCCATATGACCTAACTGGTGATTTATGTTCACTGCAGTGTCCCCACAGCAGTTACAACACATGTCAGCAGTTTTCACAGCAGTTCATTACTGTCAAAAACTCAAACACTTGGCGCCACCTCTGATTTATTTTTGAGTTGCATTTATTTTATTCCCCAAATCTTTTGCAAATGAGACATTTCATCCCAGGCAAACTTTCCATCATAATTACTTTTGCCGAGCTCGGTCAGATATTAGCACCGAAACGTTTGATTAATTACTTTGTCAGTGAGGAAGTTAAGTGGCTAAGAATTGTGTTATTAGACCTGCTCTGTCTTAAAAGCCTCTTTTAATTGGAAGTCAATGATCATTTGAATAATAGGGGCAGCGGGAAAGTCCATGCATATGATTCCAAAGCGCTGGTTCAGGTCCGTCTTGGCCCTCAGGTACTTGTACAGCTGTGGGTTGATGAGCTGTGCGACGGCCCTGGGGTGCGCGAACACTCCGGCTCCACTGCTGTAGGTGAGAAAAATCTGGGCTTTGTTTCCTGAAGGTGCAGCCTCCAAGTGGTTGTAGACACTCTGCCATTTCTCCTGCACATGTGCCAGTGTGGGCACCTGGAGGGAACACCAAGTGTAATTTAAAATAGTGCAGAAACCAAGTAGGATCACATGGAACATAGGCAAGGTAATGAATATAAAACACTACTGACATCACAAGTAGTTTGAGTATAAAAATGTAGGCAGACCTTCCAGTCATCAGCTATGTCCATTGAATCATAACGCATCCCCAGATCTGGCCCATTGAAGTTCTGCAGGATGATGATCTTCCCTCGAGCCTCACTCATGGTTGGCACGAGTCGGCTGTGCCACAGCAGGTCCCAGTGAGAGTAGCGATTGATGTAGTCTACCACAGCACCATAGATGTCACCCGTCTCACTGAACTCCTCCTTTAGACGCATTAGCACTGTCTCAGTTGGATACTCCTGCAGGAAGTCAGTCACTCCCTCCAGGACGTCGCCAAAGTGCGCTCGCTGGTAGGACACCCCGTGATGAATGGTGAGGTTTCCGTTGACATGACGCACACGGATGTCTAGGAAGCGAACACCAGCACGGAGCTGGGAGGCCAGGCTCCAGGTCTGGCACTCTGCATACACACCACCATATAGGGCCATGGTGTTGTGTGTCCCAGGCATGGTGATCTCTGACAGCAGCCGATCATCAGGGATGCTGGCCATCCAGGCCGGGTTGAGGAACTCTGGGTTGGGTGTGTCATCATAGTCAGGCCTCTGGATTGCACCATTACTCGAACTAATGACTCTAAAACACAGACAGATAAAATAACTTATCTAGTACAGGGCTTTTCAAATTTTTGCTCTCAGGTGCAGAGACAGGAATCAATCCACCTGAGCCACAGTTGCCCCATGGGACAGTCCTTAGGCCTACACTACACCAGTATTTAAAATTATCCAGGTAACTTCAGGATTAATCCTGGGTTTTCAGTACTACACAGGAGGATGTGGTACATCGCCACTCCAGAATAAAGATTAAAATCCGAAGGTATGAAATCATCAACTACTGACCAGTGAAAGTGGAAAGTAGGGTGTTCTAAATCATTTTCAATAGCAACCAAAGTATTTGTGTATTGTAGGATTATAAAATCTTACAATAATACAGAGGAAAACCCCAACAATCAGATGACCATTTATCAGAAAGTACTTGGTTACAGTGGAAAGGAACAACTCCCTTTTGACAGGAAGAAATTCCCATTAGAACCAGGCTCAGGGAGGGGCAACCATCTGCCATGGCCATTCAGGGGTGAGGAGATGAAGACGAGACAAATGAAAACAGAATCGTAGATGAAACTTTATTCTTTCATTCCTGCAAATAATTTTACTTTTTTTTTTCTTGTTTTATATATGTGATTCTAAAACTTCATGGTCATGGAGGCCAGTGGCCTTCTTCTGGCCGCTCTCCCTTTCTGTACCTCTAACTCTCTGTCTTTCTCACCACCAGTTCTCATGAAGTTCCACTGGTTGGTTGTAGGACCTCAGAGAGGAGTGCCCAGCTGCAGTGGGGCGGCACAGCTGTCTCCCATCATCTAATCTTCACCACAGCATTTAGAACAGCTTTCCTTCTCAACTGTTACCACGTTTGTCAATTTTTGTCAGTGGTAATGCTCTTGTTAGATTTTAAACTCAGTTCTTGTGTCAGTCTTCATTTTCAATTGTTCATGCTGTCTCTTCTTTGTCCTTGATGTGCAATTCCTGCTACTATTTAAATATACTGCTGTATTAATAAATCTTTTAACTGCTTCTATTTTCCAAGGATGTCTTTGGCTTAAACATGACAGAACCTTTGAAATATTGACTCTCTTCCAGTTTTACTGAGAGAAGCACTTAAACTTACTTACTTTTTCTTTTGATTTATTGTGTGTGCTTGATGTTCTGAACTGTTGGTGCAATAAGAAATAAAAGTTGCACTGAACTGGACTAAAACCTAAAATGGAAATATATTTGTTGTGGGTAAGTAGCTCCTCTTTGATTTACTCACCCCAGCAGGACCAGCTCGATTAACAACTTGTGCATTTTCACTGAATCTTGTCTCATATTGTTCCTCATTTCTGATTTTCCAGTCCTGGAAACAGATTAAAATTTAAGAGCATGAAAAATACCAAGATCCAGTTTAATGTAATGATAGAATTGACCCATTTAAAAAAAGAAGAAAAAAAAGAAAAGAGGTGCAACAAAAACTTAAAGAAAAAGCTTACAAAATCTTGCATGTAAACAATGACGTGTTTGGAGCAGTCATCCAAATATACACGCTGACTTATTAAAAATGTGCTCATTAAAATAAGGCAAGCTCTTTTTTTCCACAAAAAAATTCACTGAAAAATAAATGTATTTAAAATATTGTCTGTGATAAACTCCTCATTACAAGTGCTGACTTAAATCCATTGTCTGAAGGACAAGGTTTTTTTTTTATGGTCAATTATGTATTGTTGGATGACAAACATGTAAAACAACAACAGAGAAAACAGAAGCTGAAGAGCTGTTCCCATCATGAAAACACGCCAATCTAAAAAGCAGTAAAACTGTAACAGTGGAACAGTAGCAACTGATTCTGAACCAGCTCGAGGTCGACCTCTGCTGAACCCCGTGGCCCATTTCAATGGCAGGCTTAAAGCTTTCTAATCCCAAAGCTGAACCAAACATCCACAGCTACTGTGTCAAACCTGCTGATGTGCCTCGCTGTTTGCTTCTGTTCTTACCTGAAACGAGCTGGGGAGCCGTCCTCGGTCCAGTCCAGTCCAGAAACGTCCTGGGAGTGTCGAACAGGGAGAGCGGGGAGTTGAGGTGTCAGAGGCAAAATTTGGTGATTTGGGAGATTACTGTGGGAACTAATACAGAGGAGGAGTTGAGGGTTGGGAGTGCAGTACTGTGCATGTGTGAGGGTGGGTGGGAGCGTCAGTGCGAGGGTTAGCTGTCCCTGAATATACATAATGAAAATAATGCCAAAGAAGTAGATGAAAAATCCAATTTTATATGTGTTTTTATATATTTTAAAACTTTAATTTTTGTCTGAATTATGTTTTAAAATAGAGAATAAAAACACAGAAATTATCATGTTTCTTTGGTACAAGTCAGTTGTATGCAGTCATGTTACAGCTGAGTGATTTCTCACAGCGTTTATCAGTCTTCATAAGTTAATATAAGCCCAGTGTTAATATTGGAATGAAAATTTCAGGAGAACTTAAATGGATTGAATGGAAAATGCTAACAAGGAAAGATCTACACAAACTGCATCGAAGGCTGTGAGGTGGGCTTTAATTCAGTTGAGGAAGCCTAATAATGGTCACTTCCAGTTCTTATTAAGAAGAGAAGGCACATCGTACCCTCGGATAAAATGCTTTTAATTGTCAAACTTTAAAGGAGACCTGTTATGCAACGTCCTTATTTTCTGTCAAATATATGCTGTTACAGTGGCAGATGCTAATGCCAGACATGGTCAAAATAATGACCACTGTGAGCCAAGAGACTGCTACAAACACTCCGGTTCAACATTTTATTTTATTTTTAATTATCATGGTTCTGCATGATGTCACTTAGGGGGATAACTCTAATGAGGACATCACATCCACACATTTTTGGCTGTCAGGCTATAGGAGCTGTCCAAACCTTCTGTTTAAAAGAAACAGCCAATAGAAAGAAAGTAGGCTTAAAGAGGGAGGAGCCCAAACATTTTTTGGTTTCATGCAGTGGATGGACTTAAGGGCCACACACAGGGCCAGTATAACATAATTTATTCTGAGAATTTCAAGAATTACCACTATATAGTGTTGAAAGTTAGGCTATTAGGGTCTCTTTAGACACAACAGATGAATTTTTACTCAAATATATTTTTAACTCAATCTTAGATGTATCTGGTAGTGTGTAAACATGTGGAAAAATGCAGATGTTTGCTCAGTTTGTCTCATATCACAGTCAAACATTGCACAACAGCCTAGTCCTTGTCTTGTTTAATCATGTTTGCTTAGCTGTCTCTACATGTCACCAATCCAGAGTGTGTAAAACAGAAATTCCTTCAGTTTTGAATAAATATTTGACGCCAGGTGAATTTGAGCGAAACATAACAAATTCACCTGGCACAGACTGGTAAATATACTCAAGATTTAGATCAAATATAACTATAGGAGGAGCTGCTTATCCAGCATACACTGAATGTAGTCCAGGAAAGCATCAACAGCTCTGTAAGTGAAAGAAAGGGTGGAGAATTATTAATAAATGCAACCACGAGAAGAAGATCAGAAGAACATGCAAAAATGAAAGGTGCATTACAATATTGTCGCTTTTGAAGTCTGTCCAGTTGTAAAGATTAAAGAACCCACAATCTCTCAAATAGCTGACATGTGCTTTTTGGAAACTAGTTTTTACTGGAAATAACGTTATTCATAGACAACCTTACTCAGAATAGCCATATTTACTCACTGACAAATTTAGTCTAGGTTAATAAGTGATGGATGATACCTTAAAATGGAGAAAAAAAATCTGTAATATAAAGGAACAACAAGTATCTTAAATGTCTTTTAATTTAAGCAGAACTTCCCCCTGTAACTTTTACACCATATTTAAATGATGAATTAATGTCTATGCTGCTTTTTACTCAAATAGTCAGCGGAGGTGGAGTGTTTAATGTTCAGTGTTTATAAGATTTTATCACTGTCAGTGTTATGTGCTGTTTTTATTAGATACTGTAAGAGTATTTACATAATCCTTGGCTGTCCTGATAGTTTCCTTGTGAAAACAAGCAGAAAATATCAAATGGAGCCAAAAACTGCAGTTGGTGTAATGGCCACTCAATGGCTCCAAATGCAAGCTAATGGTCAGTGCCATTCAAGTCAGCTGTTCGTGTTTATGGACAAATACAAAAAGTGGTTTGGGTCTATAGCTAGTATGCTTGTTTATAACTTTCAGTATAACTTGTATATTATTTGCCCTTGCTGAAAATATCTGGCTTTGACCCTCCTGTTTTTATCAAACTTCAAGCCACCTTTCAAGTCTCTCTTTTTTTTGTCTCCTCCTGGAAAAAAATATCTACACCCCATTAAAGTCCTTCCTGTATGAACAAAGCAATTCTGGAAGTGTTCCAGTCTGAGTTTAAAACTCACCGCAGCACCAAAGCCACTCTTGTAAAGCTTTTTAATAATATTCTTTTAGCAACTGATTCTGGTGAATGTGTGCAAGTTGTGCTTTTGGACTTAACAGCTGCCTTTGACACAATGTACTGTGAAATCCTCATCTCCAGGCTGGAGCAGTGGGTGGGCATTACCGGCTCAGCTCTGTAATTGTTTAGGGACTAACTCTATGACAGAAGTTTGTGTCAGCATTGATGGTTTTACCTCTACCTCTGCTGTCCTCCCCTGGGGGGGGGGGGGGGGGACCACAAGGCTGCATTCTTGGGCTGCTCCTTTTCTCTTTGCACCTGCTGTCACTTTGCACTATTTTCTGGAAACACAATATTTCCTTACATTGTTATGCAGACAACTGTCAAGTTTATTTTCCACTTACGCACACTGGTGCATACTCTGTCCACTCTCTGCCTTATCAACATCAGGAGATGGTTGTGTCCTTTAGAGTCTAGAGAAGTTGCAGGTACTACTGGGTCTAAACTTTAGACACTCCCTGTATGGATTTTTGCTCTCTGGCCCCATATGAGAAATCCATTATCAGTAATTATTAAAATCCTTTTATTTGTCTTGAAGTCTTTTAATGGTTGTGCCCCATTTTGTCTGTGTGAGCTGCTGCACCCATATATCCCACCTCATTGTCTCAGGTCAGCAGAACAGATGCTTTTGCTTGTTTCAAAGACGCAACTCAAACTCAGAAGGGACAGAGCTTTGAAGTTGTGGCTCAAAAATTGTGGGTTCACTTGTTGGTTTGCAATCTGGTTTAAAAACACACTTTTATTCCCTGGCCTTTGACCCAGTGTGAGATGTTGACTGTGATCTTAAGTTACTTTGTATGTACTCCTAGTGGTATTACCTGATAAGATAGCAGTCCACCTGTGGCTCCAAAACAAGCTAAAAAGGCCGATTCCAGGTTTTGGACAGAAGTCTACATCCCAGTGGGTGACTTTATGTTGACTTCAAGGATGTTTCAAATAAAGTCTAAGGTGGAAATGCTTTTTTAATCATATATTATTATGGGGGGGGTTTTTTTAGCCTTTTTTTTTTTTTAAAGAAGCCCAGTCTATCTGTGATGGGACAGCTGATTATCTTCAGGGCAATAATTCATCCTTCATATGACCACCTGTGCCAAAGTTATTTTCAAGGTTTAGGTATTCCTATGTAAACTTAAACATGAAATAAAGTACTTCATACAGAATATGTGTAACACATATGCTGTGACCGTGTGAATAAACTTGTGTTGTCTTAGGAAAGTTAACCAAAGACTTCAGGGTGTGTCCAGAGGAAGTTTCAGGTGAATGCGAACAGAGACAGAAAATCCTGAAAGTTTAATGTTAAAATTAAATAAATGGTAATATTGTCTCTGACTAACCATCAAGTAAAACTTTATACAGAACAAGACATCACAAAAGTCTTCAATATAAAAAAGTAAAAATAAAAGACATGCTTGGACTTGTTTGTTGAGCTCCTGACTGTTGTATCTGTTAGAGTTGATGCTTTTGAGATTGTCATTTGTGCTAAGATATATATAACCACTGCTTGTGTGTGTGTGCTGATAAAATGTTTCTCCTTCTATGATGGAAGAAGCAGCTTTGTTGCTGTAATTTTTCCTTACACATTTAGAAACCACACGGTTCTGTTCATCTGCGGTGCAGGACTGCTCACTTCTGCTTTTTACACACCTTAGTTCGTTGAAAGGTCGCATCCTGTATGGGGTGACTGGAGAGGTTGATAAGAAGTTATGCCTTGTATGGTATGACGAGGGGCCACACACACACACGCACTCTAGTGTCAGTGTTTTATTTTGTATACCAAAGAAAAAAAAAAGAATAATTTACGAGTGGATCTTTGTAGCTAATAGCAGAGAAGTCTGCCCACTGCCTCTGGTTGTGTAGGGCTCTTGGCCTTTGGCTGCAGGCACTTCATCTGGACCTATCTTTTCCCTCATCTCACCGTGAGATGCGTAGCCTTGGGTCTTTGTACTCTTGGGACCTACAGACGGTCTATTAAAAATAAAGTTTTCTATAAGGGCAGATGTCCAAATTCAAAAGGTGGTTAATATTTAATGACAGCATGATGACCTCAGGAATCCTCTGGATACTTGAGACTTTGATCCAATGACTCTGATTATCAGAATGGCTTCTCTTACACGATCTGTACATATCTGACACTATTTTTTTAACATTATCTTCTTCATTATGAATGAAATCAGTTTCATCACGCTCTTAAATCTGCCAGGCCTGTTGCTGTCATTGGCTGTTTTTCCCAGCAGACATCGTACCAGGAAAATCAGGCTTTGCAAGGCAAGTTTTGAAACTGAACCTAGACCAGCCTCTTGTTTAAGGCAGACATTTTCCTTATTTGTTTATGTTGGTAAAACTCAAGATCCTTCTGTATGTGTGTCACCTTGTTCCTAAAAGCGCACTCAGTCTGTGTAGACTTTTTAGGATAATTAGAGGGTCACTTTACCCAAGTTGTAAAAAATTATATTTTCTCTTCCCTTTGGGGTTGTATCTGAATTTCCAGTGTAAAAAGTCAACCAAATCAAAAATATGAAGAGACCTTTGTAAATAAGAGAGGAGGCGAAAGCTTAGACTCAATTCTGGTGGTCAAAAAGTAACACTTTGTTTGACTTCCTCCATTTGACTTCCTCGTGAACAGATGTAATTTTAAATAAACATAAAACTCTTAGGTTTAAATAACATTTCCTCTTGCTAAACTCTTCGTGCGCCAATATTTATTTATTTATTTTTATATTTTTGTGTCTCAAATGTCGAGAAATGCTAAAAAGAAAACATACCAAAAAAATAAAAGTGTGTCCGTAAGTTTTATGTGACTAGTATGAAAAATATTCAAATGAAAGCTGCTGTCAGCAGGCAGTGATACTGTATCTTGAAATGTTCTTTTTCACTAGTAAACAAAGCCATTTCCAGAAACACAGGTTTTCTTTTGTTATTCGTCTCAACTCACATCCTGAAAAATGAATGAACGAATAAATGCAAAGACAATGAATAAATATTTCTTTCATGACGATACTGATACTAACACACATAAGCAGCAAAGACAATAGGGAGACATTTGTTTCTGCTCATTAGGCGCGATGATGCATTTCACTTCATTTTACTGATAATTTCTGTAGTATCTCGTCACCCAAACTGGTTGGGAAGGTGTGTGACCATATGATTAAAACAATGACAAAAGGCAACAAGGGCGACAAGGGCTGGTATTCCAGCATGTGGTTGGAGCTTCAGCCACAGTGTTTCTAGATGGACTCTCTCAGCCAATCAGCACAGAGCACGCATGACTCACTTCCTTGTATCTGCTCCCTTATTTGGCAGGAAGGGGTTGTCCTTATTTGACTATAGGGTGGAAAATGGTGGAAGGTAAAGCCAGACGGCTGCAGTAGACTGAGGATAACCAGCAGTTTTATCTTTGGTGAGTAAACATCTGCCTTCTGTGCTTCACAGTCTCTGATCTGAAGGGTGTTTAGAGTCTATTTGAAAGCGAGTCTGATAGGGGGGACTGGTAGCAGCATGCTAGGGTGATTCATGTAGGAGAGGCAGAGAATCAGGAAATGAGAGAAACAAGCTTGGAAACAAACAGCAACACAATCCCGAGACTGGGTTTAGGTTGAAGCTGCCAAAAGAAATAGCTTCTGGGATTGAAAGTGCTCAGTAGATGATCTACTGAAGTTCACAACCTGGAGCCATTTCTTTGTTTCCAGTCTTTCTAGTGTTACTACAAATAGACACACCTACTGTTATCCCTGAGTTATTTTTCCAGCACGACAACATTGAGATTGATGATTAATGCTAGAAGTATGACAAAGATGCACTGCTATTAGATGTGGATGCATAGTTTCACAGATGAACATTTACACTGATGTGGTAAGTAATCATTCAGTAAATTGTCACGGTTTATGCTTCCTAAATGAAAGGATTCGCTTATATCCTTCTTTACGTCATTAAGAATTGATCATCTTTGAGTCTTTAACATATTATTTTGCATAAAAATTTATTTTTTGGGCTTTACTGCAAACAAAATGCCGGTGATTGAAATTATAAAACCATGCTTGTTTCATTTTAGCTGAATACTTCTCTTTAAACTTAAACTATATGTTGTTCCAAGTTTTCTAAGAATTAGTAACTTTTTTTGACATAAAATGACAAAAGTTTGCTCACGTATCATAGACGCGAATATTTGTGGGTCTTTTTTGTGCTCTGTCACATATGAAGTATCACTGAACTGGACTTTTACTTTGTTAACAAAATTCTTTCTTGTGTTTTTACATGAAAAACTTAGAAAACACCAAAAGGTTTATCAGTAATGACACATGCCTTCCCTGTCACATGTTGCCCATAACATTAAGTGTAAGATGACACCTTTAAGTATTACTCTACACGATATGGTGCATAGGCAGCAGCTGGTGACATGTGTGTATGCCAGCAGTTAGCTTGTTTTTAGTTGGCCTGTGAAAAGGGGGGAAAAGTTTGTGACTTAACACACCTGTTAGGTGCAAAACGTGGGCAGGCTTTCATTTCAGCGGGGAATTTTTGGGAAGGGTATCTAATTGTAGTGGCAGAAAAAGGATAAAATAGTTAACAAAACATGTCAAAAAGGGGATTCTGTTCATCTTGATGTAGCACTTAGATGACTTCTGAAGAGGTCACTTGGATGAGCCATAAGAAAAAGAGGGATTTGCGACCCAGTTCAGAGTTAAAGCTGGTGTGGTCATATGCTGTATCTAGCACAGTGTGGATGCAGTTTTAAAGGGCCAGTAAGTAGAGAGGGCTATCTACCAGTTGAAAGATCGGTGGTTCAATCCCCGACTCCTCTAGTCTGGATATCAAAGCAACCTTGGGGAGTATACTAAACCCTTAATTGCTCCAGATGTTTTCGATCCAGTGTCAGTGTGTGAATATTAGGTGAAAAGTTTTTTGGTGAATGAAGCTATTAAGAAGAAAGCACTTTGAGTGCTCAAATAGAGCAGAAAGGTGCTGTATAAGTATTAGTCTGTTTAACCTTAAAATCTTTTGTTCTGTCTCTCCAGATTCACTCTGTGTGCACTTTTAACTTTGAAGAAGAAAAACAGCAGTGATGGCTGATTCAGCACAAATCAAGAAGACTGCAGCCAAAGTGTTGTGCTGTGTGGAGAAGGTTTCCTCCTTCGCCTCCTCCATTGACCCCATCTTTGGTGTTGTCTCTTCCCTGGTTGGAGTGGCTCGCAAGGGCCTGATGGATGAAGTGGATCATCCTCTGGAGAAGGACTTTCAAGCGATCCACACCAAACTACAGAGCATCTCTCAGAAGAACCAGGAATGCCTGAAGAAGATCCACATTGACGAGGTGAACGAAACCTACGGCAAGTACGAGGAGTACATCAAGCACCAGTACAATGCCTTCAACAACATGGTGGCACTGGTGAAGAAAGATCCAGGCAACGCCACGCGCCACATGGAGACCTTTGAGAAGATTTATGAGAGGGACAAGTCTGACATGAGCCTGGATGTGTATTATCGTGGCGTGGTGGGTACACAAACGCTATTCGGAAAACCGCTGCTAAAAGTGTACTTTGAACACTGTGAAGGCGACCGAGAAATCATGGAGCGCCGCTGTTCACACATCACCCACCTCTTCCACATGGGCCTCATCGCCCTCATGGGCTACACAGCTGTTACAGAGGACGATGAAGATGAAGTGCGCGAGAAGTGGACTGGCAGGGTGCAGGACATCCAAGAGAAGATGCAGGAGGTGCTCAGCGAGTGCAAACCCCAAGTATCCTAAGCCCCACAAGGAGAGAGGACATCCTTTGAGTCTGGTGGTACTAACAAGGGGACCAATCAGGACTCTCAGCTGTGGATTAAAAAAAATAAATTATGCTATTATATAAAAATATATGTAAGACCAAAGCCATGTTTTCATTTGAGCACTTGAGCTGCACTGGATGGTTGTACTGCAGCATCTTACTTGTTGTCTTGACAATGTATACTGCTTTCAGAGTTACCACTATAATGTTCAGCTGCTTTGTGCTGCGCCTCAATAAATGCTGAAATTTTATACAATAAAATGTATGAAATATTATACAGTCAAGTTGTATATTTGTGAAATAAAGCTGCAGCAAAAAAAAATAAAGTCAATTCATGAGGGGCAAGTCTGGAACTTCTCTAATAACTCAGTCTGCTGAGCTGCTAGAAACCAAACCCCACTACACAGTTAATAAACTCACAAGAATTTTATTTATATCCATACTTCAGTTCCTTTTGAAAAGTGGCTCTCTGAAACAGAAACTGCTGTCATAATACCAGCAAAACAATTGACTTGACTTCATGAGAACTTGATGTCTATTTAATACATTCCTTTCTTTCACTGAGTTCAACAATGTAGTAATTATACTGGGTTTAAAGAAGCCTGTTAGAGTACAGACTACATAATTCATGAATTATGATTACGCTTTAAGCATAAATAGCACTGGGGTGAATCTACTGTGCAGCTCACTTGGTTGAGCAGGTGACCCATATGCAAAACCCATATGTAGAGGTATGGGTTCAAGGTTGCCCCAAAACCACCCCCAGTGTGTTATTCCCCCACACTCTTTCCCAGAGTTCCTGTCAGCTTTCGATTTTCCTATATGGAAATTTGAGTCTGCCTGTAAAAAAATTAAAAAAACAAAACACATAGTTTCAGATTTCCTCAAAATTTCAGCTTAATAACACAAACCTCTGAAAAATTAACTTGAAATTTCAAGTCGAAGTGATTTGGGAGGTCGCTTTTGACAGTGAGTTTCACCAGTTCTTGAAATATATAAAAAAAATTTTCCCTTTTTATCAGTCAGGGTTGAAGACTAGTGTGAGAAAGTGTGGGAACTAATGTGAGGAATATCAATGATCAGGATATATTTAACACACATTTATCTGTTAAATTTGCTAATTCATTATGGTTAATAAAAGACATCGCTAGCTTAAGTTATACAACTGATCCAATTAAAGCAATAAATAGCTTTGAATATACCGGTACATATGTTTATTTGCTTTATACACCCCTCTAGCGGAGAAACATCTAAAATATCTATCTATCTATCTATCTATCTATCTATCTATCTTAGCTGTTGGCTATAATATTCAATTCAAAATGTATTTTTTATTATCCTAAAAATTGCATATAGCCTTCATAGCAAGCGAAACTCGTACTACTACTTGTAAAACTTCTGAATGATTATTATGTTATTATGTCAAAATATCTCAACATTTCAAAGCCTGTAAGTCAAAATTTGAGCTAATGACCTGAAATTTTGACTTATGGATGACAATTCAAAAAAAAATATTTAAACAAGCTTCCATAGATTTTTCGGGGGAGGCGGTCTTTTAAGAGGACAATAAATCATATTGAAATTCTGAAAAACTCACAAAATTAGAGATAGATTTGATTTTTTTTTTTTTTTATATATCCATAAATAAGTCTTACGGAGCACAGCAGACGCTACCTGACGCTCATGCTTTGTTATTGAGTGTACGTGGTCCCCCTCACCAGCAGAGTCCTCTGTCGTCCTGCCGCAGCTGCTGCACTCAAACGTAACGTGATTCCTCTGTTTCTCTGCAGCCCTGCCCCGTCTTAAAAAGGCCTGCAACTACCTCAACCCAAAAATAACTGCTCCTGGAAGCGGTGCTGGGGCAACCTCCCGGCTTCAGACCGCTAATTTAACCCAATTAAGACGAGCGGAGAGCCGAGGAAAGCTACGTTTGGTGGTTTTGAAAGAAAGTCACGTCGCTTTCGGTAAGTTTCAGCTGCTCGGAAAAGCGGAAAAAAACATTGATGAAGATGAATGTAGCATCCCAGCTACTGCTGCTGACTCCCCTCTAAAAGTTCTGTCGTTTAACGTGGACAAGGAAATGTATGACAACTGGTTGAATACGACAGTGTATACCGTGTGTGTGTATAAAATACAACATGTAAAGGTGTCCGTGTAATATCAGTTGAAAGACAGCCGAGCCTGGTTTCCGGGGCGTGACCTGTCTTTGAACTCAACAAGTTTGTCTCTGAGATGACTCTTACTAGTTTTACTGTGTGTTAAATTATATTTTACTTATTTATATGCAGTTCAAAAGTGACTAAAAATAAGATGCAATAAATAAAACGGTGTAAATACACTACAAAATTAAAAATAGTAGGTATACAATATGAAATAATAAAAGAATATATATGTAGAGGTATATTTTAAAGCAGTTTGAGAATATTTGAGCTTGTTACATGGTGTGTTATCCTGCACCGTAGTCGTAAAGAGATGGACATGGTCAACAAAAATACTCAGGTGGGCTGTGCAGTGTAAATGAGGCTCTGATGGTACTAAAGAGGCCAAAGTATGCCAGTAAAATATCTCCCACACTGTTACACCACCAGCGGCAGGCTGAACTGTGGATTATTCTGACGCTACCATTTGATCGTAGCAGCAGAAATGCTTTTCCATTCTTCTGTTGTCCAATTTTGGTGAGCCCCTGTGAATTAAAGTCTAAATGTTCTGTTCTTAGCTGACAGCTGTGGTACTTGGTGTGGTCTTCTGCGTCAGGGTGCTCTTCTGCATACCTTTTACCTATTTGAGTTGTTGTTGCCTTGCTATGGCATCAGCAGGGCATTGTCACCTTAGAATTGCCGGTCACTGGATATTTTCTCTTTTTCTGATTTGTGTGTAAATTTGGCAGCAGGTCTAATCTTACATTTCATGTGTTTACGAGGTATTCATTAAATTGTGTGATTGGTTTGGGGGAGGGGGGTACTACCTCAGTGTGGTAAACGTGGTCTTTGTGAATCTTATGTCGTACAAGACAAAAGGCATCGAGGAGGACGGGGTTAAAAGGTTCTCTATGGTTGCAGCGCTATGCTTCACAACTCCACAGCTGTTAAGTCAAACTTGAGAGTGACGTTTGCAGCAGTTCTTACCACACTTACTTTGGGTGCAGCGTAAGTGCTACACCCGCAAGTGCTAGAAGACAGCCAGAGACAACGACGGAAACAGAAAATGTGTTCATATGCATCAGCCCTACACAGATACACAGTGAGCAAGTTAACAAATCAGCAGTTCTGAACATTGATCCCAGGTTGGATTATGACATCAATAAGGTTACTAGAAGTGCTTTCTATCCCTTAAAATATATCTGACGTTAGAAAATCCTTATCTCAAACTGACTGGGAAATTGGTTCAAAACTGTATTTTGCTGTTTTCACTGCCACAGGTTTTATGTTTTTGATCTTCTGTGTTAAGCACATTTAGTTTGCATGTAACTGCAAACTCCCACATGGGTGTGTTCACTTTCTCTGTCCACGTGGTGACAGCATTAAACAACGTTGGACATTATAAAGATTATAAAATTGTGTGAAAGGGTGATTGGTTTTGGCAGTGAGAGCTGTGGGGCTCCAGGTCGGTCACTTGCTTTGGTGTTGAAATCCAAAGTTTCTAAAGTGTAGGCGCTCTGTGATCAGTTAAACCTGTGTATAGACTGAGTGTCACTGCTCAAACACTGAATTACTTTTCTTAGCAACCTTCACCTTTTTTGATATTTTTTTCCCCCATGTTTTAGGCATGTCTCTCCACGGCATTTGGCCCCCATGTAGCATATTTTCTCAGGTCTGAGAAAAAGACGCCACGATGGGCAACGAGGACACCCTCGAGGATGTGTTTGTTGCTGTGCTTCGTCCGAAGAATCAAGTCAGCCTGAGCTCGAAAGAATACAGAGCCAAAGCCTATGAGGTAGGCAGACAATAAGTTAACACACTGTCCTCGACGTCTTACAGTGAGGTGGAAAGAACACTGATGTCCTGTAATGTATTGTTGGTTTGGGCATATCACTGCTGTATGCATGAATAATAAACACCCTTCAGTGAATTCAGACCCACTGGAGTTTCTAACTGAGCCTCTGTTTGCATGTTTTTCCTCTGGTGTCTGGGTAGATCCTTTTAAAAGAAGTGCCTTTAGAGGGGAAGGAGAAGAAAAGAAAGAAAGTCCTTCTGGCAACAAAGCTCAAAGCAGGAGGAGACAAATCCAAATCCATATTGGATTATGTTGATGAAACGATCAAACCGCTCTCCAGTAACCAAAGCTGCGCTGGTGAGGCTGACGCATTTGTGCACAAGCTGATTTATTAAACAGTTTTTTTGGGGGGAGAGTTAGGAACCACTGATCTAACCAGTGTTTTTGCTGTGCAGGAAAGCGTGTGGTGCACATGAAGAAATTTATTCTTGAAGGTGACAATGAAGGGAAAGAAGCCTCACTTTTTGTTGTACCAGTCAGTGTTAAAGGTAAGTAAACTATATCTCATCCTGAACTGATCTAGCTAATTTTATTTAACGTTTAACAAAGTTTAAGCTGTGCATGCAGTAGATTAATGAGTCCTTCTATACAGACAACAGCAAGCCTGTCCACAGCCCCGGGAGCCCCAGCTTTTACTGCTTCCACGACATAATGCGGGTGTGCAGTGAGACCAGCACTCACTTCTGCTCCGTCACCTCCAAGATGCTCCTGGCTTTAGACAAGTAAAGAGAAGTCTGTAAATGTGCTCTTTAGCTCTGCGATTTTGTCAGAGGTAAACGCCCCTTCCCTTTGCTTCTTTCCCCTCCGCAGATGGTTAGCAGAGCAGCACACTGTGCCTCATGCCATCCCTGCTTTATTCAGACCAGCACCCGTGGAGCGGGTGAAGACCAACGTAAGCAATCCGGCTTACAGCAGCGAGGGCAAACTGAGTGATGAGGGTCTGCACATGGGCTACACTGCTCTGGAGATCAAGAGCAAGATGATGTCCCTGGAGAAGGCTGACATGTGCATCCTGAATCCACTCTACGGCTCAGATCTGCAGTACACCAACAGGGTAAGGCTTTATATATGCAAAGAAACATAATTCTTCTGGTGGATTTGGAAACTTAAATCGCCCTCCTTTCGTTTTGTCTGCAGGTGGACAAAGTTATCATCAACCCATACTTTGGGCTTGGGGCACCAGACTATTCCAAGATCCAGATCCCCAAGAGGGAGAAATGGCAGCATGGACCCAACTGTGTGACAGAAGACAAGTGAGGGCTTGTTTTGGTTAATTGCTATAGACTTTGTGTCTAACTTTGTCTCTTTTTGGGGCGCACTGGACAGTCTTGATTAACAACGTGGATGCCTTGAACTGAAGTCATGTTTAGTCACTGTTCTCTTCAGCATAAATTCCTGTCTCCACAGGGATCACCAGTGGGTGGACGACTTTCCTCTCCACCGCAGCGCCCTGGAAGGAGACACTGAGCTGATCTCTAAGCTTCTGGACAGCGGTTTCTCAGTCAAGCAGCTGGACAACGATCACTGGGCTCCCATACACTATGCCTGCTGGTGAGTCTCCTGCTCATCTGACAGCTCAACAAAGGCTTAAAAGTATCCAAAATTTCTTATTTTCCTGGTCCTTTTTTTTTTTTTTTTTTTTCCCCCCATTACTTATGTTTAAGTTTGATATTTATGTGGTTCTATCCAGGCACGGTAAAGTTGAGGCAACCAAGCTGCTGCTGGAGAAGGGTAACTGTAATCCCAACCTGCTGAACGGCCAGCTCAGCTCCCCCCTGCACTTTGCAGCCCGAGGAGGCCACGCAGAGATCGTCCAACTGCTGCTGCAGCACCCTGAGATCGACCGGGTACAAATTTAACACTTCCTTTTTTCTTTTTCTTTTTTTTAATTATTACTTCAAAGAAATCCTGTTGCAGCTAAATGTAACTTTTTTTTATTGGTTTGTAATGATAATAATTATAATAATAATAATTGCTGATTTGTCTTTTATCAGTATCCACATACCATCCAGATTGCAAATAAAGTGGTAAACATTAATCACTATGTCATGATACTGACTCCTCCACCAATAGCACATAGAAGACCAGCAGAAGAGATCGCCGCTCCAAGTGTGCGAGGAGAACAAACAGAACGAGTGGGAGGAGACTGTGAAACTTCTGCAGCAAGCCAACAGCAAACCAGTGAGTCACACAGTTACACTATTTGTTATTCCTTTGTGTGGAACAACAGCCTTTTCAGGATGTTATCGAGATAAAGTTTGCAATTATTTCTAAATACACTTCAGCATACTTAAGCCCATAAGTATAGACTTCCCAATGCATATATTTTTGCTGATTGATTTGCAGGCGTTGTTGTTGTTGTTGTTGTTGTTGTTGTATTTTAATATAACATAATAGTTGTTAAACAAATATGGCATCCTAAAGGCATCACAGTACATAAAATGGTAATAAAAAAAATAATAAACAATAAAACATAATTGAGGAGTTTGAGGAGAATATAAATGCTGCTTTAGATCCTAATCCAGATGAGGTGGCTGTAGCTCAGGAGCACGTCGTGCACCAATTGGAAGGTTGCTGGGTTGATCCCTGGTTGCTCCAGTCTGCGTGCCAAAGGATCCTTGGGCAAGATAATAACCAAGTTGATCTCTGATGCCACGTTCAAAGTCACCTTTATCACAATTCTTCCCTGTTTTAACTACAGCAGGTCATCTTGACCATGTCTACTTGTCTTAATGCAATGACTTGTTCCCATGTAATGGGTTGTGTTGATAAGCAATTGGAAAGGTGTACCTAAAGTGACTTGTGAATGTAATTCCCTGGCAGTTAAGTTGTTTTTTTTTTTTTTTTTTTGTTTTGTTTTTTTTTTGTTTTTTTTGATCACCTGTTGGTGATATTCCTTCAAGAACAGTCAAAGGTGTCAGACATTCCCAGGACTAAGCCATGTTTCTCTCTTATTTTGCATGTCATTATTGTCTTTTCCTTAAATAGAAACCAGCACTCCATAAAGAATTATGTTTCTGATATTGAGCAAAGGAATGGCCCTGAGGGGTTGAGTCATGAAAGCTCTGGGATTTTTGTAGCTGTGTTTTTCATGCTTTTTCATAATAAGCTAGTCATTGTTTAGTTTGTTTGCTCGTGCCATGTTTAATTAACCTTATATGTTGTTGATATTGAGTCTGGCATAGATGCGTTCACTCATTTTGATATTTTTTTCCTTGTTTGAAGAAAAGGGGTATCCAGTAAAACACAAGCACATGTGCAGTTATAACAACACAGAGCAGACATGACAGCTTCCTTCTGATATAACACTTTTAAAAAAGTGTTATAGTATGCTTTAAGTAAAGCGAAGCGTATTGAAATGTTTCCTGAATGTTCAACAATGTTGACAAGTTTTTTTTGTTTACATATATATGTATACAAATGTTTTAAAGAGGGGTTTATACTTTTATTTTTAAAAAGAAAGAGGAAGATTGTTAACTTGTTATTTTCTGTTATATCGCGAGAGTACTGTTGCCCGCGGTGAGTTTTTGTTGGTGTGTATGGGGTGTAAGATGGCATAAAGAATAAAGCGTTTGGAGTGAGACTACGACGTCGTGTGTTTTGACTTTAAACTTTAATATTAAGAAATCCACCATTTGTGCTGTTTGTGATCCACAGTACGAGAAGGTGCGCATCTACCGCATGGATGGCTCGTATCGCTCCGTAGAGCTCAAGCATGGCAACAACACAACTGTGCAGCAGATCATGGAGGGGATGCGTCTGTCTCAGGAGACCCAGCAATACTTCACCATCTGGATCTGCTCAGAGAACCTCCGTGAGTCCACTTGTTTCTTTTTTTTCAAATGTATTTATTTATTTAATTTAGTAACATCGATGCAATAAAGACCAAAAGCTGTAGTTAGTGGTGTCACTGCAAGATCCCAGAAAGATTTGTGTGCGTGTGGTTTTGTGTGTTAGACCTGCAGCTGAAGCCGTACCACAAACCCCTGCAGCACCTCCGGATCTGGACTGAGATTGTGACAGATCTCACAGTGCTGGATCCTCAAAGGGAAACGCCACAGCTCTTCCTCCGCAGGGATGTCCGACTGCCCCTTGAAATTGAGAAAAAGGTAGGTCACTTTCACCACCTAAGCATCAGTGACAGCTCAACTCGAAATGTTTTGAGAGCTCTTCATCAGCTTCCTGCTGGTGGCTTTGTTTCAGGTGGAGGATCCCCTGGCCATCCTTATCCTGTTTGACGAGGCCCGGCACTGCCTTCTCAAGGGCTTCTTCCCTGCTCCAGACAACAAGCTGATCACACTGGCCAGCCTCCTCCTGCAAATCATCTATGGCAACTATGAGAGTAAGAAGCACAAGCAAGGGTTCCTCAAGTAAGAGACAAATCATATTTTGTGTTTAAATCACTTTTAATATCTGCTCTAACAAACTGATTTATTTGCATTCGGATAAAATCTGTGCTTTATTTAAACAGTGAGGAAAACCTCAAATCAATCGTGCCGATATCCAAGGTGAAAAGCAAAGCATACCACTGGACCAACAGGATTCTTCATGAGTATAAAGTACACTTGTGTTTTTATTTTAATTGCTTTTTATCTTATAAATACATTTCAGAGTTCCCTGAGGTGACATCAGGTCCTGTCCCTCTCTCACCAACAGGCTCTGAGCACCAGCGAGGGGGTCAGTAAAGAGATGCACCACCTGCAGCGGCTCTTCTTGCAGAACTGCTGGGACATCCCGACCTACGGAGCAGCTTTCTTCACAGGCCAGGTCTACACCAAGGCCAGCGCAAGCAACCACAAAGTCATCCGTGTCTACGTGGGGGTGAACACAAAGGGACTGCATCTCATGAACATGGAAACTAAGGTAAAATGCCGTTTTGCTGGGTTTTTAATTTTTGTTTTTTTTATGTTTTAAGCTCTAGTTTGTGAATGTAAAGCTAAAAAGCTACTTATTCATCAGCTTGGTGGAGCAAATGGATAGATGAATGGATCGATTGAAGCACAATAGCACAAAGCCGTTTGCATCTACAGAATGTATTTGAACTTGCATTCTTAGATTAGTTAGATTTTTACTTAAATATTCCCTCTGGGATTACCATAGGATAGATTAAACGATAATGCTGTATTTGTGTTAGTTTTTAAGTTTTAGTTGAAGATGCTTGATGTGACATTTTATTACACATCTTCTCCTGCAGGTCCTTCTCATCAGTTTAGAGTATAGCACGTTTATATGGCAGCTTGGACATGCAGACCAGTATTTCCAGATACACAGTGGTGACAACAAAATGAACTTCATCGTGCACACAAAACAGGTAATAAAGCTTTTTTTGAAATCCAAATAATATTTATTTAAATATATATGGTTGTTAACCAGTAAGGTCTATTCTTTCCCTTCAGGCTGGCCTTATTGTGAAGCTCTTAATGAAACTGAGTGGGCAGATAACTCCAAATGAGAAAGGCATCACAGACAAATACGCCTATGGCTGAAAACTGTTGAAGAAACCACCTGCCAAAAAAATTCCCAGTTCGGGTTGTTTGTTCCGACCATCATCTGACTGCAGTAACTCTGGAAAGCCTCTCCACAAGAGCCTCATTTTGTACAACTGGCTTAGTGATATACTTCACATTCTCTATTTTAATGTTTCCTGGATTTTGATGGCATGTAAATATGTTTATTATTTAATAAAGTGATTGATTGTATGATCAGATGTGTTTTTCATATTTAGGCAGAAATGACAATGTTATTTTTCTTTAGAGGAATTCATTCAATGGAGGCTGAAAATCAATATTTGCTTTATTATAAATGGGGAGCACTCTCTCTTCTCTCTTCACTGGGTGAAAATGCCCTGTTGATGCCAGAAGTTGGAGAATAGTGGCTGGGCTGTTTTAGCTGAAAGGAAGGCAACAGTTACTCAAATAACAGCTGGCTGCAACCAAGATATGCAGAAGAGCATCTCTCAATGCACACTACATCAAACATTAAAGCAGAAGACCATACTGGGTGGTCTTCTCTTGCCAGTTAAGAACAGGAAACCTACAGTTTGTGCATCATCACCAAACATCTCCTGGTCTCACCTGGTGGTGTAAAGCTATGGAGAGTGTGTGTATATCTGTCTGTCTGTCTGTCTGAACTTATGAGGTTTTCAAGGCTACTGATGAAAATAAACCTCATTTAAAACATATTTGTAGCCCAGCTCCTGTACTAGTTGCACTCCATCACAGGATTTTGAAGTGGTTATTAGTTATTTATTTAAAGTTTCGCAATTGATTTTATGCTTTTACTGAAAGGAAAATGTTGCTATTGTGCACGCTCATGTATTGCTAATTTCATGATAGCAGTCACAATCATTAATGATCCGACACACCCCCAACAAACTGCAAACCAGCTCATTTATTGCTGTTGAGGCGACTTATGTTGTGATTTGGCGCTATATAAATAAAATTGAATTGAATTGAATTGCTGTAAACGTTTATATAATAATATAATATTAAACATAATATATTTCGTTATCTTTGCAGGACTTTAACGTCCCGTATTGTTGAATTCTGGAGGTACAGGAAAAAGTTGACATTTTTTTAAAAAAAGGTCTTAAAATCGATGGTCGCCCTGCTGTTGTGACATCATGTAGCAAGACATCGGTTCAGGTAGCCTCAACCATTCACAGCGAGAGCTGCTTGACTGACACGTGGTCAGCAACCAATCAAAATCCAGCATTGGTCAGGCGGGGGCAGGACGAGTGTTGACAGGTCGAGACTTTGGGGAAATATCACCAACTGTTCTTGACCGAGAGCCTTTCAGCAGGTGGACGGTGACCGGGGCCGTTTCGGGGTTAAGTTTTTAAAGGTTTTGTTTTCGGGGGCTATCAGGAAAAATGTCGATGCACATTTATCAGATGAGCGCTAAACTGCTCGGGGACACCATGGGGAAAATGAACGAGAACCTGACCTCCGTGGTGTTAGCAGCGTCCGTCTTCACCCTCACTCTGGGATACATCTCCAAACTGCTGCTCAAACAGTCCACAGACGTGGACGTGGTGAGTGTGCTCAGACGATAAACAGTTACCGTTATCTAAGCTTTAGTTTCAAGTCACTGTTATTTTTTTATTGTTATTTATTTATGTCTCTCTGCGCAGAAACATCCACCCTACATACCCTCCAGCATCCCCTTTCTGGGACATGCCATCGCTTTTGGAAAGAGCCCCATTGAGTTTCTGGAAAATGCCTATAACAAAGTAAGTGTTTTGAAAAATGAACCCGCGACTGTTTTCAATCAGAAGAAATGAAACAGTTTAATAATCAGTCCTAAAATATGAAGATTAGCCCCCCCTCCAATTACTTTAAGTTATTAACTCTAAACATTGACAGCGGTTCAAAGTTTGAACAAAGCAGATGATCATGAAGATAAACTGCTTTAAAAATGAGGAAATGCTTTTAAACCATCGTGAGTCCATTTCAGCTCCTGTGGTGCAAATGAAAGCGACAACAGGCCAAGGCAACTCTGGCTCTCTCCTTGTACCTCCTGACTGATTTTGCTCTAGTTTTGGTATTTGTAAACAGTATAACTCATTTATGAAAAATGAGAGAGAGAAAAAGAAAAAGCACGATACAAAATAAAGCTAAATACAGTACAATATCCCTAATCTGATTTAGGTTCCATATCTTATCATATCATATATTTAGGGGGTTGGGGACCACTGATCTAGAGTTTAATCTGTATATATATTATTTCGTTTTTTTTAACTCAGTTGTCAGAGATTTATTTTACTTTGACCCCTGCGTCTGAAGTCCTGCGTGTCTGCTGTTCCCCCCACAGTACGGCCCTGTATTCAGCTTCACTATGGTGGGCAAAACATTCACCTACCTGCTGGGCAGCGACGCAGCCGCGCTGATGTTCAACAGCAAGAACGAAGACCTGAACGCAGAGGACGTCTACTCGAGACTGACCACTCCGGTGTTCGGCAAAGGAGTCGCCTACGACGTGCCGAACCACGTGAGTATCCCAGAACCTGAGAAGTTCATGCCTCAGAAGGAAGGTGGAAATGTATTAAAGAGTTTCTGCATGCTAAGATCAGCTGAGATGCATGTTTCCTTTTAATCTGCTGCAGATTTTTCTGGAGCAGAAGAAGATGTTTAAGACGGGGCTGAACATTGCTCGTTTTAGGGAACACATCGAGATCATTGAGAGAGAGACGATCGAGTATTTTCAGAAATGGGGAGACAGCGGGGAGAGAAGTAAGACACTGATATTTGCAACGCTGAGTCCAAAACAGTTAACCATAAAACTTGATACAGATTAGATCAAAAACCAAACGTTTGTCAATGAACTTTGACCTGTTTCAGACCTGTTCGAGGCTCTGTCCGAGCTGATTATCCTCACAGCCAGCAGCTGCCTGCACGGGAAAGAGATCCGCAGCATGCTGGATGAACGCGTGGCCCAGCTTTACGCCGACTTGGACGGAGGATTTACCCACGCTGCGTGGCTCCTGCCGGGCTGGCTGCCCCTGCCCAGCTTCAGGTAGGTCTCCCACACATCTTCATGCAGTACAGTGCTGCGTCTGCACACAGGGTGAAGACGACACTGGATTTAATTTGACTAGACAGATTTAAAAAAAACAAAACTGGAAAAAAAAAAGATGGCATCACACAGGCCAAAGAAATACCAGAGGGATTCAATGTGATATGATACAAACAGCACAATACTGTTTGGAAATATTTACCTCTGTTTTTTTGTTTGTTTGTTGTTTAGGAAGAGGGACAGAGCTCACAGAGAGATCAAGAACATCTTCTACAAAGTGATTCAGAAACGGAGGAGCTCTGAAGAGAAAGCAGATGACATCCTGCAGACCTTCATGGACTCCACATACAAGTAAGGTGACATCAGCGGCTCAGAACAAGCGCTAAAACAACAAAACAGCCCAGGGTCAAAGAGTAGGACAAAACCAGACCACAGGTGTGGACATTTGCTGTATGAGTAAACAAACAGCTGGAGGAGAAAGCACAGTTGCCACTATAGACTTACATACTGTGTGTTTATAAGCGAGGAATCAACCTGTGTGTCAGATATTACTGCTAATGAGCCTCTTCCTTGATATAAACAAACAGAGAGCAGCAGGTTTGTCTGCAGGTCTGTGAGCATAAGAGAAAAATCCATAAATTTCTGTCAAATGAGGTAACACACTTATTGCCCGACTCTTACTGAACTGATGTACCTGCGATTACATAATGACAGTGCAAGTCAACATGCAAAGAAACAGTTTTATGTTTAATGTCATGGTCCAGTCCTGAAAGACTCAAAGGAGACTTGGCTTAACCCAGAATATTCAGATCTTATTATCAAAAAGAAATAAAAATCACAATTAACTCTATGAAGGATTGAGAACTAAAAAAACGTTCTCATTCCTCAGAGATGGACGGCCGCTGACCGATGACGAAATTGCAGGGATGCTGATCGGCCTCCTCCTGGCGGGTCAGCACACATCCTCCACCACCAGCGCCTGGCTGGGCTTCTTCCTGGCCAAAGACAAGGCCCTGCAGGTGCGATGCTACGCAGAGCAGAAGGCTGTGTGCGGGGAAAACCTGCCTCCACTCAACTTCGATCAGGTAAAAGTCGCCCGTGGACTGTGATAAAAATGAGGTTCATTACTGCTAATAATAGTAAAGAGTAAAAAAAAAAATATGTGCAGGGTTTAAATGTGAAATGTAAGTATTCTCCCTCAGATGTTACCTCTGATTTGTGAGAGATACTCCCCCTGCTGGCTGTAGAAAATTATTGCGGTAACAGGAGTAAAGATGTTTTTAGCGCCCCCTTGCTGCTGCATTCAGGTGGAGGTCTACATAAATTTAAAAAAAAAAAAGCTGAAAGAGGTTATTTTATTCCTCAAAACCAGACTGATGCTCCAGATATTTTCTAAACTTTCATGTCACCATCTTTAGCTGAAGGATCTCAGCTTGCTGGAGCGCTGTTTAAAGGAAACCCTGCGGCTCCGCCCACCCATCATGACGATGATGAGGATGGCTCGCTCTCCTCAGGTATGGGTCATTCCTCAGCACTGGATTTTATGATGTCATGTATACGCGCAGACAACCTCAGCTGACTGTACCTGCTCTCTCGTCTGCTTTCTCAGACTGCAGCAGGATACACCATCCCTGTGGGCCACCAGGTGTGCGTCTCCCCGACTGTTAACCACCGGCTCCACGACACCTGGGTGGACAGGATGGAATTCAAACCTGATCGCTACCTCAACGATAATCCTGCCGCAGGGGAGAAGTTCGCCTATGTGCCCTTTGGAGCCGGTATGAAGAAGCGCTAATTTCTTTTGCTGTAAAATAAAGTAAACATAAAACACCTCAAAGCCAAACCAGACATCAGTCAAACTGAGTTCAATGAAATCAAATCCATCCTGTTTTCCGCCTGCAGGCCGTCATCGCTGCATTGGGGAAAACTTTGCCTACGTCCAGATCAAAACCATCTGGTCCACTTTGCTCCGCATGTACGACTTTGACCTGGTGGACGGATATTTCCCCACAATCAACTACACCACGATGATCCACACGCCTCACAACCCCGTCATCAGATACAAGAGGAGGAAGCAGTGAGAGACGGAGACATCCGAGCATCGGAAGTAAAGCTCGAACCTTGTGGGGACTTGAATCGAGGAAAATTGACATCAGTGCACTTTGCTCTTAATGCCCAAGCTGTGCTTTTATTCTTCCTGTATTTCGTCTAGAGTCCGGCTCTCTTCATGAATGAATGTTTGTAGATTAGTGTGACTTTCTGCAGAGAAAAACAGGGGCTGTGAGACTCCAGCGTGAAAGCTGATGCTCTTATTCACAATGTGAATTCTTTAAAAACAATACAAATGGAGAAATAACTAGCGCCTTATGACGTCTTTAGACTGAATGAAGCCTTTGAGTCAACCCGGGAAGACGTATTTACTTTTCTGTTTTCCAGAGTTAATCATCGATTTTGCAGCAAACTTGTAGCTAAAAGTTCTGAACACTGGAAACTTGGTTAAAACCACGAGGTTCATTTACAGCTCTCTGATGTTTGGAGCTATAAGGTTAGTCACATGATCTTCATCTGCAGATGAGTTGTGACCAGTTGTGTATATACAGTATATATTTTTCCTTGTCCTGAGCATTACTCGGTATGAGGGTTTAAACTTGAGAAGAGAGAAAACAACCCTGTGCTATCTGAATAATCTGCTGAGGAAGACCATGTGATTTAATTAAAAGCTCTGGGGTGGGTTACTAAATCTGTGGGGAATCTTTTATTCCTGAGATGTATGTTAAAGTTTTCCTGCTGTGAAGACAAAAGAAAAAACAAACAAACAAGTGAAACTGGGTGAAAAATCAATAAAAATATGAAAATGAGCCTCTGAACCCTGCTGTGTTACAGAGTGTGCGTCAGGATGGGAGATCTCCCACATACACCTACTGAGCCTCATGTAAGCAAATGCCAGAGGATGAACATTTTATCTTCTAACACAGCTGTTTTTCATCATTTTGGTTAAATAGACTTGGCCGTGTACATTTACTCATGCACTGTCCAGTACTTTGGGTTCCTTCACTATATATAGGGAATAGGGAATAACTGTGGTGACACCTAAATTGAGATGACATCACGGATCTGCTCTGAGCCACTTATTGCTTGCAGTGGTGATGGACGGGCTGACAGATGAGGTCAGGCAGGAGTCTCTGTGGACTGTGATGTTTGCAGATGACACTGATCTGTAGTGAGAGTAGGGAGGAGGTGGAAGAGAGGAAGAATAAGGTTTTCATTGTGAGTGATTGTAAGATGGTTTGGAGGAGGTTGGGACAAAGGATACTAAAATATTAATAATAACTAAATATGAATCTCCCAGGCAGGAGGAAAAAAGGAAGACCATTAAATGGGTTCATGGGAAGGCTAACATGCATAAGGGCTGTGTGAGAGGAGACTACTGGGGGGGGGGATAGGAAGAGATGGAGGCAGATGAGCTACTGAATTGCATTTTCTAGGATTAATCAGTGTTTGCAAAATCAGTTTTTCTAAGTGAGAGATCACAAAAAAATATTTATCACTGTGTAAGTGGGGCTTACACTTTTGAGTACATTTTTCCAGTAATACTTTATACTTCACCTTAACTGACTGTCAGTAACCTTGTACTAGGTTTTACCTGATTACAATTCTCAGCAATAGTCTGTCAAGTACGATAGATGAAGTCAGTAGGAACAACATCCTGCAGACAGCAGAGGTCGGTCAGGATCAGGGTAAGTAATAACACCTGAAAGAATTTATGAAAAGCTTTTTGGGCTAATTTTTACAGCTTTGACCTCCCCTTGTGCTTTTTAAACAGCTCTCTATGCAACATTTTTGTTTAGTGTTAAAAGAAATAATTATTCGCTTTCAAAAGGACTAAAGATGTCCTCAGCTGAGTTTTTGTTTCTATTGCTGGTTTATCTGAATGAAGCTTGATGGTGCTAAATTTTTCCACAAAAAAAGTTTAACAAAAAAGATGCAAAAAGAAAAAAAAAAAGAAAAAAGAAATGAAGCAAACCTTTTTGAAATAACGTAGTCCTCTTTATTTCAGTTTTTGACAAAATACCCAGAAAATTCAAAGCTCCTAACGCTTTACAAAAATACGTTCTCTACAAATGTCCTCTGTAGTCTGTCCGGCCTAAACAAAACACAGTGTAGTGTAGAATATCCAGCAGCAGCCTCCTTAACAGTAAACCCAAACATCCTCTACATAACGCTCCACCCATACAACACAAACATATAAATTAATCACAAAGTCTTAAATTAGCATTAGACAAATTATACATGATTGTAGATCATCCACAACAAAGAGGCAGATTAAATTACAAACGTAGCTGTTTTTCCAAGTGCCGGCGACCAACAAAAAGCCTGAATACAACATGTCGTACACTGATAAAAAATGTGTTTTGGTCCACATGGAAAGATACAGTCCACACCAGAATGGTAGAAAACAGCAGAGCGCTCAGCACGAGAAAAAGGCAACTGAGTTTCTTCAAGCCAAAGTTAACGTGTCAGCATCTATCTTCTCAAGCCAAAGTGCAATTGAGCATATGAAGAAGCACCTGGGGAGAGAAAAGAGGAGGAGTTGAGTAAATATGCCAAACCCAGGGTACGGATCACACCTTTACACATGCAGGTATTTCAAAGCGCTTTGCTTTGGGTGCAACAATCAGAATATGTGAGTTCACTGCTTCTCAGCTTTACAGGGCAAACACGTACTGTACTGTAAGCAGACATAACCAAATTTGTAATTATGTATATTCCACATATAGATGAAAGTGTTTTTCGCCAATAGAATTTGAGATGACGAAGAAAGCTGTAACTCGATCACACGTAATGCATGTGAGCTGGGCTGCTCGTGTTACCTGATGTCACGCTGCCCAGCCTCCTCTGCAGGGCCTCCAGCCTGGAGATGTAGTCGGTGAGCGCTCGGTCGGGGTCGTAGTTCTGCAAGTGGGAACAGGTGAGCGGTCCGTGGTCTCCAGACATGTGAAACCTGCACATTAGAAACACAGATTTAAGAAAGTCGGAAAGGATCTGAACTCCACATTAATGCAAAAGAGAAAAGAAAAAAAATCAGTTTACTCTACAGTACTCATGAGTATACATTAGCCTAAACAACTGATGTCCAAAGTGATCCTTCATCATAACTTTACAAATCAGTTTCATTATTTTAATTACTCAGACTAAGTTTGAAGCTTTATTCTCAATAATTTTGGTATTTTCTTTCCTTTAATCAGACAGGAGATAAAATAAGAAGTAGACTGGAAACATTAAAAAAAGGAAAACTGTTTAATAATAAATATTGTTAGCATCCTGATTGATAGTTGTACCTGTGATGTGTGGAGGAGACAGCCGATCGAGGGGATTCCCGCCCACTTCTCCCCCTGCTGCTAGACATTCCTCCCCCGCCGCTTCCTCTATCTCTGTACATCTCCGGACCACCTGGGTGAAGATAAGGGGAATCCCTCGCCTCTGTACCTGCCGGAAATTAAGAAAATATTATGAGTATCACATGTAAATGACAATATGGAGAGGTTACAAGCTGCTATATGCTTTGGTTACCTAAGATCTGTCCTGTTCCGTTCTTACTAACAGCACAGGAGGCCGTGGAGCTCATTCCCGTCGCCCTGTGCCATCGCTTCACGAGAAAACGCATTCTAGATGAACAAATATAATTGGTTTTAGACAAAAAACTAACAAAAAAAAACAGTTTTAAAAAACCCCAAAGCTTCAGCTTCCCACCTGGAGAGGGCGATAGAGACTCTGGCGATAGAGCGGAAGCGCATCGCACCCCTGCACCGCTGACTGAGGGACTCCAGGCTGGAGAGCGACGGCCGACCGCCCATCCTGGTCAGGAGTGATAACGTGGCCTCCTCACACTCCTGGAAACCACCCAGCATTAACAGCAGGTACTTCTTCTGGTAGATCAGTGCTTTACGGAAGCTTTCTGACCTCAGGTACTTCCCATACATCCTCTGGAAGTTAAAAAAAGAGATGAAGGGAGAAGAGAAGACGGCAGTTTAACTTCAGAGGCCATCAAATGTCTTTTAACACTGAACTCCAGCATTTAGGCGATGCTTCTGCATCGTTTCTTTGGGTTAGTACAATTAACTCATTACTCAGATACAAAGCAGTTTATGAGCAGTGATCTGCTGACCTTGAGGGCAGCATTGTCGGCATCAGGCCCGGTAATCTCTCGCAGGTTCTCGGACCTGATCTCTCCCCTGAGTCTAGCCACCTGAGACTGAGCTAAATGCAAAGCTTTCTCCAGACGGATCTTCTCTCGAGCCCAAGCTTCCCGCTCCTGAGAAAGCAGCAACCCTGCAGAGTCCATCTTTGATGCTCCTCGTCTGCTGGACTGCAGAAGATAAAACACTCTTTAGTCAGAGGCAAATGACAGACGGTGGAAACAATAACATGTATCATTATGCGAGCCAGTTTGAATGTTTACTTAAGTTCTGAATGGCATTATGAAGGAAACATAGGATTATAAAAATACCTTGGTCATTATCTTTGTGGTATTTGTCTCTACCACATGTCATGTGTATGTAATATTAAGTTTTTAGACCAACCAGGACGGCCACGTGAAAAATAGCACTGTAGTATTGTGCTCCATCTCAGAATCAGCAGGTTTTTCTGTGGTGTACTCACACTGTCGCCTGACCCCAGTCCAACCTGCCGATAGCGTCGCAGTTCTTCTTCCAAGCGGAGCGTGTGGTTCCTCAGATCATTCTTCTCTTCGGTCAGACGGCTGACGAAACCTGTCAGCTCTGCGTTCTGCCTCAGCAGCCGCTCAGTCAGCGTGTTGGAGGAGCTGGAGGAGCCTCCTGCCAGCAGGGACGCACTCTGAGGGAAACAAGACAAGCAGTCACAACCACGTGTAAAGCTCAGCAGATGTTGTTTAGTAAACGCAGACGCGAACAGCTGATTCTGGCTGGAGACTAGCAGTGAGTGGGTGTTTCTCCTTTTCACATTTCTTTATTTATCCAGAAATATGCGGCGTAGAAGGGAAAACAAAAATGAGACTGTGTGCTGACCTCAGGGACGGAGGGTAGACCAGGGGACTGCTGCAGCAGGGTGATGACCTCATCGAGACTGGACTGGACCCAGGACAACTCCTCACTGTCCACCTCTGCAGTAAGCCTGAACAGAAGAAATGCAGTAAAGCTGTTACAGAGGAGGTCTGTGTGGTGTGATTGTGCTGCACAGTTTCTGAAATAAATATAAAAGAAAAAAGTAAACAGCCGTTTTGTTTACCTGCCAGTGGTTTTGCTCGGCATGCTGCGGACCTTTGAGGAGATGACTTGGAGTTTGCTCACAATCCTGTCCACCGTGCGCCACGGGCCGTGATGCGGCCCACTGCTGTGGCCTGTTGAAGAGACCTCTTTGTGAGGGGACGCGCTGGAGCTTTCTGTGTGGAGGTTTCCGCTCTTTTGCTGGAGCACCCAGTCTTTGGTGCGGTCCGTGGAGTCACTGTGCCACACAGCCTGCTGTTAAGATAAAAACAACAGAGCTTCAATGCTCCTGATAACATGATCAGAAACAATAAATGTTAAAGAGTAACTAAAAGTCTTTTTAAAGTAAATTCTGTGCCACTCACACTCCGGCCATCAGCCTCCACAGGTCCCGTCCCCTCCCTCTGCTCTCCTAACTGGTTCAGTCTTCCCTCCAGTCTCTCATTCTCTTCTTCCAGACTCTGTCTGTTCTCCAGCTCTCTTCTCAGCTGCTCCTGGACCTTTGCCATTTCTGCCTCCAGCCTCTCCAGCTTGGCCTGAGCCTCTAGCAGTGCCTCTTGGTCTCTTCTGGATCTCTGACTCACCAGCGTCAGCTCCTCCTCTTTTCGTACCACCTCAAGCTTCTGGGCCTCAACCTGACTGAGTAGATCCACCACCTGGAGAGGGAAACCATGTTTAATCATGATACAGTCAGATCCTAGCCACTGATAAAAGGCCTTGAAGTCTGGTGTCATTAGACAGTTAAAGCAACTGTAGCATCGAACCTGTGCGTGCTTGTCGTCCAGCTCCCTTTGCAGTCTTTCCAGAAGACCTCCTCCCTCTTCAGAGCTTCTCCCATCCTTCTGAACCTGCTCCTCATGGAGGTGACCACCATCAGAGGAAACGCCAGTCCGCAGATCTCTCTCTCTCCCCAGAGCAGTGCTCATCTCTTGGGCCTTAGCTCGCTCTGTTTCAAGCTGGACCTGGAGCTCCTGCAGGCGCCTGTGGAGGCTGAGACGCTCCTCTTCAGCTTGATGGGAGAGCTGAGAGGAGGCCTGTCGCTCCTGCTCCACAGTCAGTTTCAGCTGTGCTACGTGGTTCTTCTGCTCCTCCAGAGAAAGCTGAAGATCCTAGTGGGAAATTTTAAAAACACAATTTCTTCTCAAAAATACTCAAACTTTGGGAAAAAACTTTGACGTCACGCTTGAATGCTCCTGCCATCTTACCTCCAGCTCTTCTCGTCTGCTCTCCTCGGTCCTCCCAGTTTGACACTTCTCCTTCTCCATGGCCCATTGAAGATCTCTGCTCTTCTTCCTCTCCTCTGTCAGCTCATCATTTAGTGCGTCCACCTCTGCGGCTTTCTGGGATACCTCCGCCCTGTTGACATCATTTTAAGGCTACATTTTCACTGTACTACTTTTAAATAAAATCTTTTTAAACTCTTTACTTATTATGCAAATATATCCAAAACTGTGATTTTTATCTTAAACATTTAATATGTTTTCTGCGTTTTCCAGCGTTGCTTGTTACTTTAATGTCTGGTCTAACCTGAGTGTGTCCAGCTCTTTGAGGTGTTTGTGTTGAGCTTTGAGGGTTGTCTCCAGCTCCAGTTTAGTCTGAGACAGTTCACCCTTTAGCTCCTCCACTAGCAGCCTGTCAGCCCCCCCGGCTCCATCAGCTCCAACTCGTTCCCTCTGCTCCTTTATGCTACCTTCACCAGCCAATGAGACAGCAGACCGGGCACCTGAAGGACGAAGGCAGACGTTTAACAGATATAAAATACAAAAAGACTTATTTTCAGCAAAATGAACTCTGAACTGGGATCACCTTGGTGGAGTTGCTCTAGTTGGCCACGGAGCTGATGAATCTCAGAGATGAGACTGGACCTTTCTGCAGTGCGGAGTGAACCCATCGCCTCTCTGTGCTGGGCGTCCTGTATTTGAGACACACAAACAGCCATATGATAGGTTCAAATAACTATCTACAGAGGACCCAAACTATAACAAATTAACGAGCAGCTTATACTCAGGCTAACAAAATTCTACAATCTTTTTCTTGCAGCTGATGAACATTTACAACAGTTTTTGAAGTCATTATGGTGAACTCTTTACAGACCTGCTCAGCCAGTCTCCGCTCCAGCTGATTCAGGTGAATGATGGCGTCACTGGTGTCCAGCAGGTCCAGCTGGCTGTAGAGGGCATTCTTCAGCACGTTGCGCTCCTTTATAAACACCTGCCGAACTGCATCCAGGAGCTCTCCACGCCAGTCTACACTGCCGGACATCTGCAGTGAATCGAACACACAAATTCAGGCAAATTCAGAAGAGGGCTTTCTTATATTTTAGGGCAGTTGTTGTTATTTTGAAGAGGATGCCAATGCCGTAAAGCCCCTTGACTGACTTTGATGTGACAAACAGACGACAGCGGGATCTTCAAACCCCCCCTGGTGCTTTAAACTTTAATGGTTTTGACTCTTTAGGCTGCTGTAGTGTTTTGCGGTGAGGTTTCTTTACCTGTGATTCTCTGTGTGTCTGCATCTGGCTGATGAAGTTTTTTAGGGACTCTATAGTATCCAGCAGGGCGTCTCGCTCCTTCACCCAGCCCTGGACGTTGAACCGGTCGCCTGGCTCGCTTTCAGAAAGTGGGAGCTCTGAGAGAGAAAGAACCTGCATGCCTTCTTGGTGCACTTCACGGAGCAACGTCTAGAGACAAGCAATGCAGAAAAAGTGTAACTTTTACAACGTTTCTGAAGAATAGAAAACAAAATATTGCTCAAATTTTTGCATGCTCACAAATACAGGCAAGGACATTCGGGAAAGTTCATCTGGGGGCAGCGTTTTCAGTCACTTGGATGAGTGATAAAAAGGCCGCGTCCAGATGAAAACAATCAACTTTCTGGGTTTTGTTATATACATTTCACACGGTGGGAAACATACTACACAGTACCTGTAGTTTTATGACATCACTCATGGTTCATTAGTAAGTGAAAGCTGTACCTTGATCCGGTCTGGCAGTGGTTCATCTCTCCTGGCTCCCTCTGGAGTCGTCCTGAACTCCTGTTGCAGGCTCGGGAGGTCATATCCTGTCCTCTGGCTGTAGTCTGAGCTGCTGTCTGCATGATGACAAAAACAATCACAAAAGTGAAGTGCAACAAAGAAAACAAATGCTAAACAAGCTAAAATTAAGGATAAATGAGCTCTTTTTGGCACTCAAAGTAAAAAAAGAAAAGTCGATTTCTGTATACTGTTACAAATATGAGCAAACTTTAATAAATTGAAGTTAGAGTACTTTTAGCTGCTCCCTTTTGCCAAAGGGGTCTCTAGACACAGAGAAACATGTTTTAATTTGGATAGAGACTTCTCGATGCAACCCATTACCCATTTATCCTGGCTTGAAACTGACACTAGGAGTACATTGACCCCCTGAGGCTGGATTTGTCTCTCCTCCCGGACTCAAACCAGGTAACGAGAGTATATGCAAGTAATCCCTATGAATCTAATGTCAGGCTTTAAACGACTGTTTTTTGACATTTTTTGTAACTATCATTGATAAGGCCCATCCACATGCTGTTCAAACCTTCAGTTTGAAAGGTGCAGCCAATAACAGGCAAGCTGGCTCGAACGAAGAGGAGCAAAAAAGTTCAGACAGGATGAACAGAAGGGCTCCAGCAAAGCTCAGTTAAGATATGTGTCGTTTATTTTATACTGTGGATCATACAGAGCTACCCTAGTGAGGTTTGTTTCAATTAAATTATTATAACAGATCCACTCCAAGGTTTGGTTCAGAGAGCTCTTGAGGATAAACAAAATTCCAGCCTCTCTGCTTTCAGTATTCATGCTAAGCAGGTTGTAGCCTCACATTAAACTGACAGATACACTCTTAAGAAACCAACTTTCCTACAAGAGAAATGAAAAACGATTTACTCTAGTTTTGTTTAAAACACTTAAAACTTACCGCTTGTGTAGCCATCTTTGAACTGAGACGCAGGGCGGTCTTGTCTTGATGTAGGAGCCTAGAGAGGATGAAAAAAAAAGATTAAAATCACAGACTTTCTGTGTTATGATAAGCAGAAAGAAGAAAGCCATTTAAAAGCATCAAACTACACTGATAAAAATGTAGAACACGCTAAGGATCCAAACAAACAGACATCTAAAACATCTCGTTTCCTCACCTCAGCAGACCGCACTTTTTCTATGACGGCCTTCAGAGCTTTGCATTCGTCCTCCAGCGCCTGCGTGTCCCTGCGGAGGTTCTCGCTCTCTGAAATGTGCCGAGCCTCCATATCGAGGATTTCTGCTGCATGGAGCTCCTGCATCTGTACGATCTTCTCCTCGTATTCTCCGATCACTTCCTCCATCTCCTCTTTGGTGGCAGATTTGTTTTCCTGGCTAAGATCAGACATCTGAAGAGGTTCGGTCTGCGTGAACGAGTCTGTTACAGTCGCATGTTGCTGCTCTGAGTTGCTGCTCAACAGTTGGCTGGAAGATTTGTTGGAGGATTGGCTAGAAGGGGTGGAGTTTTTTCTGGAGAGAGATGCTTTGTCTTTGGTGCTGCTTCCTTTACCAGCTGGCTGTTTGCTTCCTTTCCTTTTGGGCTGTGTGGTGGAGGAGGAGGTGGTAGAGGAAATAGGCTGAGGAGAAGAGGGAGATGGAGAAGGAGAGGAAGAGGGAGAAGGGGACGGAGGACCAGACTCTGCTGTCTTCATCAAGACTGTTTGTACCTCCTGGAGCTCCCCTTGGAGCTTAGAAATTGAGATTTCACGGGTGTGAAGTTCCTTATGAAGGTTCTCATTGTGCTGCTTGTAACTGTTGAGTTCTTCTTTGGTGGTATCCATGCTCTTTCTCACCTCCTGCAGCTCCTCCTTGAGTTTAGAAACAGAACCTTCACTCACTTGA